ATAACCAAACGTTTTCCTGCAAGTCCCCCTCCCCTCTTCATGTTTGTGTATTCACTCCCCCATACTGATGCTCGGTTTGAACTGCAGGAGATTGTCTTGACCATGTCTACATGCCTAAATGCACTGAGTTGCCGCCATGTGATTGGCTGCTTGGAAATTAAGTGTTAACGAGCAGTTGGACAGGTGTACCTAATAAAGTGGCCGATGAGTGTATTTTGCTATTCTAAGTGACTTATTTTGTTGGGTGGTGGGTTAACTGGTTCTATGCATTCATAAGGTTGCAGAATCCTGTCTTAAATTAACAGCTAGATTGTTACAATGTAAAAAGAAACAAGCTATTTGATCCAAAATGAAAACGATCAATACACATTTGCACTACAGTAGTTTGGGTGAATCATGCTTCCTGGATTGGCCCTGACCACAAACCTACTGAACATTTATGGACATAGTTTGAAAGCCAAACTTGTGCCCTCAGTAACCCAAGTTTTCTCTTGAGATCTCAAAAGAAATGCAATAAACAAATCATGAAAGGCACAGAATGTAAAAGATCATATCCAAGATCTGTTGTGTATTGAAGATGTCCTCTTATGTTAGTCTTCATCCCATTTAGTCCCACTGTCCACAAACCTGACTGTGTCCCTCCCACTTTGTGTTTCTGTGCAGAAGCCGCGATCAGAGACGATGAGAGGCTCCCTGCGCCTGTTGACCACCAGCGCCTCCCGCCTTCAGAACGAGTGCCGGAAAGCCGTGCCTTCGGACGGGTGCTCGGGGCCAGACATGCAGCTTGTAACCCAGCAGGTCATCCAGTGTGCTTATGATATTGCCAAAGCCGCCAAACAGCTTGTCACCATCACAACAAAGGAGAACACTAACTAGACAGCAGTTAACATGCTCCAAAGCCACCATCTCAGTATTGTTACATTTTCTGTGTTTTTTTTTTTTTTTTTTATATTATTGTAAATGTATTGTGGTATATGCATGTCTGTTTTTGTATTTAAAATGAATACTGACTATATCTTGGGAGTTTTGGAGGGAGAGTGAAAAAAATACGTTAATATATCTAGTTATTGTAGTAGCACAATTTTCTCTTTAAGGTAACATTTTCCAGCAAGCACATCTGTATTACTCTATAACTGAGTGATTCTAAAAACATTTTTAAGCAGCTTAAAGTAGCTAATAACAGGCATGAAGCTCATTGGACTGCATGCTGTAACAGGCAGTAATGAGAGTCCAAAACCTTAAGGTGTTCATATTCAGCGTTTCTACACATTACACATTACTACAATTTTATTTTTCCCATGCTAAACATTTTGTTTTTCATATTTGTCTTTTCTGCATGTTTTGATTTTTTTTAATGCAAATGTCCAGCATAAATTTTGAAGCATGTGTAATTATATGGTTTAGACACAGTAAAAATAAACCTGGTAAAGCTAATTATAAATTAAAATATTATATGAAAGAACTTTATGCTCACAAACAACACCTACAGTAATGTCATACTGATGGCTCGCCTGAATGTGCTGCTGCTTTGTATGTGAAATTAAAAATGCACCATTCTCTCAGTTTTGTAGCTCCTCTCCCATAAAACCTTGATTCTAGAGATAAGTCCGGTTTTCCTAAATTACGGGTATTTACCCATAATTTGAGCAGGTAACTATGATTTGCCAATGGAATTAGTATTTTTACTCTTAAAATAAGATAATTAGGTAATATGCACTGGAAATAAGACAATGCGACTTTTTTTTCTAACTTTAAATGTAAATTTTCTTCTTCCATTGGCAAAGTGTCTCACTTACCTCCTCAATTCAAGACAAAATGCACTTATTCTAAGAAAAAATTACTTCTTTAGATTTACATTTTTTCCAGTGTGTGAAAAATGTGCGCTTTTCTGTTTTGGAGCTCCTCTCATTTCAAAACCCTGATTCCCATTACTGTCATAATCCTTAAAAAAAGACTGTTATTGAAAGATGAGGAGAAATGCATAGGCTTATGTATTTATTGCAGCTCACCTGTTGGCTCCAAAAATATATTTGCACCAAAAGTGCTCTCCATATATATATATATATATATATATATATATATATATATATACACACACACACACACAGTTGTGCTTGAAAGTTTACATACCCTTCCATTAAAGACAGGAAAAATCAGCTGCCAGTAAAATACATTGAAATTGACTAAATAAAAAAATGGAAATCATGAAATTGATTTTGAATATCTATATATATCACATGCATATAACATATGCATATATTGATAAATAAATAAACCTAATGGGGCTCCTGAACTGTGTTGTGTAACATGTTGAGGCAGTAATCACTGAAATCAAGTGTGTTCTGTAATGTTCAGGAAATGTTCAGCCAGACTTCTGCACCTGCTGAGAGGTATGTTGGTTTATCAGCATGGCACTTTACTTTGTGTGGGACTGTTTTCTTCGCTTTTTTATTTTAGAATTTTTGTTTAACAAAAATTCAAAACCAATATTTTATTTTACTAAATAATCATTTAAATAACTAGTATGAATTAATAATTTTCTTTAACCATAAGCCATTTAAACATTCAGGCACAACTGTGTATTGGTCGTCCATGGGACATCTATGTTGGGATCACTGTGTAGGTGGTTCCAAAAAAAAAAAAAAAAAAAGCTAAATTTTATGAAGAAACGTTTTTACATTTTGGCAACTTTAATCCAAGGTAATGTATTATATATCCAGTGATGTAAACCTTATCAGCTTTCATAAGTGCCCATATTTGAGAACTACTACAATACTGATTTTTGAAGACATTGTAGAAACCCTGTAAATAATAATCCACCATAAATTTCAGTGACCTTTTAATGAATTTCCATAGATTGTTCAGAATGAATGTTTTTGAAACTTTTAATGTTTGTTTCAATAAAAACTTTTTTATACATTTTTTCATCTGTCCGAGCAGAACCCTGTCTGCAGTGCACTTCTCATCAGCACCCATTTGTCCATTCGGTGGAAGCCAGTTGGATATGTTCACGGGCCAAACTGTTTCCTGTCTCCAGCACAAACACCTAGCATTTAACTTTCTATCTGATTTCTTTCAGCAGGCTCTATGTTGTCCTTCAGTGATTTCACCCAGCTTTCACTCGTACGTGTTTTGTTCTGTTGCATTTCTGCAGGTTTGGTATTCAATGTGCAACATGTGAACAAGAGCTCTACATGTGTCCTGTTTTACGGAGCAAACCAGTGTTAAGCTTCCCAAAGAGTTTCTGAATTCATTTATCATATTGAAATCTCTTCCAAGGGATGTATGAGGTGCAGCATCCTAGCTGGAATAATGAAAAGAATAATTTTTTTAAATAAACCTTATATGTAAACATATCAAACCATTGGTGATTTCTCTTTACTTTACTCAATTGCAAAAATGCTGCACTTTGTTTTAAATTTTTTATGAGAAAAAAGGAATCTTCAATCTGCATTGATATATTGTTCACTGAATGCCAGTTAAAGGCGATTCCATCTTCTCAATCAACACATCACCAACCTGTTGAATTTGTTGTCCTTCATCTCCTTGATGGCGGTTTTGGTGGTCATTAACTTTAAGACACTTTATGCATAACAACTGCAGACCAAATTATATATTTTTTTGTTGGGGAGGGTTTTCAGAGTATGTGATCCTCTGCTGACCACTGCACTGAGGTGGTTGTTGGTTTGAATGCTTTAGTGCTGAATCAAAGCACTGCCATGGGGGAGGTTATTTAAAGAAGATGGGAACTAGAATGTAAAGTAGCTTCATCTAAAGTGCTTTTGATTCACTTGGAAGTTTTTTCCTTCCTGCCTCTCTGATGGATCAATGTAGTCTTTAATGGACCAAAGAGGTCACTGTGGACATAAAGTTAGATAAAACACTTTAAACTAATTCCCTATGGATAAATAAACATCCCGCTCCACGGTGGTCATGTCCAGGCGGATCGAGGTCTGCTGTGAATCTGAAACAAAGACGTTTACTTTTTAAAATCAGTTTGAAGTGTTAGAATGCTGTGTATTTAGTTTCTGACTTGGGATTCTTTGTGTATTTACCTTTTCTTGGTAACCTTCTTCAGCCATTTTCTGCATCTCTAACTTCAGGTCTTCTTCTTGAATTTCAAGGGCTTTCCTTTCCTCGTCGTCCTCCTGCTGTATTCTGCACCACTCTTGCCACTGCTCCTGACGTTTCTCTTCCACCTATGTCAAATGCATATCTCAATTTAGCATACAGCTTTAGGGCAATCCTGTGATTGAACCCCCGCACAAAACAATTGAGCATTAGTTCCAACCTGGGCCTTCAGCTCCTGCATCCTTGCAGTTTTTTGGCCTTCGTCCGTCTCTTTTTCCAAACGCCTGAGCTTCCTCTCCAGTTCCAGCTCCTGGATCAACTCTTCCCTTCTCTTCAGCGATTCCTCTTGAGCTTTGCGGATCTTTAGCATTTTTTGCTCCAGTTGCTGCTGCCTCCCCATAAGCACCTTACAGAGAAAATTAACACTGCACTTTTTAATTTTAAAGCTTTTATTGAAAGTTTTGATCATGTAAGACAATTTTACCTCATGCATTAGTCTTTCTCTGGCTTTCTTCTCCTTCTCCCATTGGGCCTCTCGTTTCTCCCAAACACGCTGAGCTTCTTCCCTAAATATTATATGGAAAACATTATAATGCACTGAACTGAATGGACATTCCTCTAATTTCACATTGTGAAATAATATAGCTCTAATACTGCCTGCTAAATACTTTTAGTTATGAGAAGAAAACACAGAAGCAAGCTGCTGCTGCTGCTGGATTCATAATTAAAAATAATGTTCTCTTACAGTGAGGTCTACCTGGTCTTCATGCTGACATGTTTCAGTTCAAATAAAATGTGCATATAGTTTAAAACCATATTATCACTTAAAAATACAAAATCTGAAGGTCAATATTGTCATTCAAACAAACCCTTCATAAACACTGAACTGTGTAACTAGAAGCTATTGGCTAACTTATGTAAGAAACACTGACGGACTTCTGTCCTCAGTTTCTCCTTTACTGTATGTGTTTTTAATGGCCTTCACTCAGACACAAAGGTCTATTTCTTCATGTAAATGCAATAATTTTATAAATAATACATTATTTTTTAATTCAATAAATGCTTTTTGTGTATGGAAGATCAGTAAAAATAATGCGCTGTCTTCTACAATCTGCAGTAGTTAAATGATTGATTTGGAGAAGCCTCCCTGGAGACATTTAAGGTGCACCTCATGGGATGGGGAGCCAGAGTTCTCTTTTAATTAAAAATAAGTAAACAATAAAAAAAATAAATTTATATTTGTCATTTTTGCAACAGCTGTATCTGTGGACAAAAAAAGATCAACTGTAACCTGATAAATTATCTGTGCCAATAGCTGCATGTGCTTGGATTTTTTTTTTAAACCTGCATGAGAATCCAATCCAGAAATTAAGCATTTCCTGCAAAGAAGATCAATCAGGGAGCAGCTGGCACTGCATCATAAATCCCCCTTTAGCATTTGAAGAATCTGGACACTGACCTGTGCAGGACGTCAAACTCGGCCTCTCTCTGGCGCTCCAGTTCAAGCTGCTCCTCTATGACGCGTTTCATCCAGGCAGCGTCGGCCACCGCTCTCTCTCTTCTTGCCATCTGCAGCTTTTTGTCCTCCTCTTCTTCTTCAAGTAAGGCTGCCAGAATCTTGCGATCAACTTCCTGAAGTTCACAAAGATCTTCAGCTAAAAACAACAAAATCTTGGATTTGAATACTCAAACAGCTTATCAATCAGACTCACCAGTTCCTCCTGGATTTGCTGGGCTCTCCTCTTTAACTGAGAGCGGTACTGACGAATCAGGAAATGCCTGGGGAAAGGAAAATAACCATTTAGCCGCATAATTTAAATGTACACACTAAACCAGGAGTTGTGATTAGTTGTCTAAATCCTACCCAATTTCAGCTTTCCGTTGCCTCTCCTCTGTCTTCTTCCTTTCCTCCTCCATCCTCTCCAGTTCCCACTGCTTCAGCAGCAGCTCCTCCTGCTCCTTTCTCAGACGAGTAGCCTCAGGGACAAAATTAACACAGCTCATGACACTGTTTTACACAGCAAATACTGCTAAAATGACTGTGTTACATCAGGTAAACCCGGTGAGAACATTGTCAGTTAAACTATAAAAGGATGGACACTATAATAACAATCCAGGCACGTCATTTATATCTAGAGGGATACTTTTTTATATATATAAATTCCTGATGAAATGGTCTAATCCCACAGTATTTGCAATGCTTTATTTTCTTTTATTCAAAATCAATGTGAATAACTGTGTTAGATGGGCAGATAATATCGCATCACACTGATCACAGGATTGTGAATGGGACTGAATGAAAATCTTGTTACTGCATGCTTTGTGATATCATGACATCATCATGTCATCACCCAAATTAATTGATACTTTTGTATCATGATAAAAGTGGTGATTCACACCCCTAGAAAATAGTATATAAAAGAACCTTCAAAACTTGCAAAAGAACTGTTGATATATGGAGCTTTGGCCATCAAAGCATGTTCCATGTGAAATGAGATGATTGGATGCTAACAGCGGTCTCTAAGAGCACTAAAATGGATCTACACCTGGCTCTGTTCATTATCTGAAGCAGAACTGCTGCAACATAACAGTGACGTTAAATTTTGACCAATATGTCCACCAAGGTCTGAATGAGAACTGAAAAGACCTTGGCCCAATCAGTGCAATAATCTTAATGATGCTGGTTTGTAACTTTTACAAGTCAGCAGATGGTGGCAAAATTTAACCCTAACCCTAACACCTAGAACAAGGCAGGAAACCCTTTATGGGATGGGTGCCACTAGTTATTTCAGCTGAATGGGGTAACACTGACTGGTAGAAGTTAGGGTGTTCTAACCTTTTTTTTTTTTTTAGCAATCAAACACATGGATTTTTGTAATTAAACCAGGTGTTTGTCCAGACAATAATAAATAAATATGAATATACATTAAGCAATGGACATCTCTCTAATTGAAATTCCACATACCTCCTCCTCCCTCAGTTTCAGTTCTTCCATCTGTTTACGGAGCTCCTCAGCCCTATTCCGCTCCTCTTCTCTCCTCCTCTCCTCTGCTTGCCTCATCCTCTCCAGGGCCTCTTTTCGACTCCTCTCATACTCATTTTCAAAGCGTGTCTTTTCCACCTGCTCCATCACGTCTTTCTGCATGTTTGATGAGACTTGTCACTAACAGCGGGTGTCAAACTTTCTTAATTATATGCCGTGTTGAGGGGATTTAATCCGAGTAGATCTCAGACATGATACTGTGCTCACAGACTGCGTAAGTGCTCTTCAATTAAAAATTCATTGTTCCATAAATAAAGGATGAGGTAAACAGAAACGGACACATTTGATGAATGGTTGCCTTAATGTGACATCACTGGGTCGCAGACGACAGAGGTTCTAAGTTAAACAGCAAGTACATAAGGATAAGTTAGGATCTCAGATGTTTTTTTCAACCTACCTGTTTCTTCTCAGATATCTGCTCCTGCCACTGGTTGACAACATGATCTTTATGCAATGCTGACTCAACCTGGAAACACAGAAGAAGAGTGAGGTTGTGACAGAGCCTGGGCCGAGGTACTGATGACCCTGACCTGTTGAGGACAGCAACACAGTGTGTTTTAGTCTAAAAATCTGGACCAGAAGAAACAAAAGTCATGGAATCGGCTTCTCACAAGGAGGATACTGTTTCAGGATCAAATGTACATCTTGACTCAAAAAAGAGTCAATACCCTACACTTGCTGGGTTTACCACAAACACGTTATATTCCGCTGTCCTTACAGGGATTAAGTATTGAATTCCATTAATTCCCTATTTATTTCTATAGCCTAAACTAGACCCTCACTCTAACCATTAGCAATATATACCCAACCCTAAACTCAATTAACCAGTTGACTGGTCCCCAGAAAATAGCTTATTTCCTGGGAATTGGTCTTAAAGCCTCCCCACTGGGTAACAAAGACACGGCCACACACACAACATAGATCAAAGCTATTGATGATGTCACCAGCTATCAGTCTTTAAGGTAATTTTACTCACTTTTGAATGACTAGTTAAAGCAGCCTACCTCACGCAGGTCTGGGTTGTTTCTCTTCCAGTGCTCTTTAAGGAGCTCCTGTGCAACCTGAGAGAGCAGAGGGAAGATTTTTAGGAAAATATAACATTTACTTTTTCTTCTATCATATTATCCAAACTCTTACCTTTTTCCTTCTTTCCTCTCTAGCCTGACGGAGCTCTTCAGCTTTGTGCACCTGCTGAGTTGCCGTTTTGCTCCTGTCAGGAACTAAATCCCGGAGCTCGGCCTCCAGTTTGTTTCGCTCCTCTTGAAGCATGGCCCTGAGCCGCTCTCTGCGCTGTTCTAGCTTGGCTTTCTTTTCTTCCTTCAGCTTTTCTCTGTGGTATGCTGACATACTGGCACCAAGTGAAAAACAAAACAAATTAATATTTTTTGCAATCTTTGTCTACTGATACATTCCCATACCAAGTAAAATTTCCAGCATAAAGGACAAAATATCTCATAAAAAGTGCCATGCATTAGTGTTCATTCTCCATTGATTCACACAGTTTGGCACCAAAGCATACACTGGATATCATTTAGAAAAAAATAGTTATTGTGAAGTGGACAAACAAAATCATTTGTAGGATTGAAAAAAAAAGCCTTTGCAAATTAGAGAAACTGGAGGTTTTATAAGCATTAAACCAAATGGTTCAGTGGTTTTGGATTATCTTCACTGCTTCAGTAACAGAGACCTCTCCTGGTGAAGAGCAAGACTGCAGGTTAGCTGGTTTTAATTACACACACTCAGACACAAATACATCAGAAGCAGATTCACTGTTTTTGAAAAGACTTGTCCTCAAACCTGTTTGGCTTCATTACCCTGCTTTACACAAACAAAGTCTAAACATTATGTTATATCTACAATAAATACTGACAAATATGTGTGACCTGTCACTGAGGAGAGAACGCTCTTTACCTTGTCAGCGCAATGAGGATTTAACACAAACACAATACAACAGTGCATTTCTGTTAAAGACTGCAGAGGGGTTTAACTTCCAAACTTCATTTTTCAGTTAAAAACATATTTCCATCTTACTTAATACTTGTTGTAAAATGTCCTAGTTTGTGGATTTTTGGAGGCTTTTTGTTGTTCCATAGCATGTTGAAACAACAGGTTTTTCTTTTATGGTCAGCATGTCTTTACAAGTAGACACTCTAGATTTCTTTGACAGGATGATGTTTTTTTTTATTAAATTATTTATTTATTAGGTATTTAGAAACAGCATGCACTAAATCTATGAGCTGCAATTGAATTAGTTTTTTCTTTTTAATAAAAAGGATTCGATGGAGCGTATGTGTCTGACTTGATGTTTTTGTTTTGTTATGATTATTTATAAGTTAATGTAAATAGTCTAATTTTTCAACAAACTTAGCAGAATTCTGGGACAATGAAGTATCTATTGTAGTTAAAATATGGCTCTAGAAAATGAAGCTCTACATCTGTATGGGGTGAGAATTGTTTTACTTTATTTCACTTTGGGATCAACAACGTATTTTTCAAGTGAACTGTGTGGGCTGAATAAAAATGCACATCACACTTCAATTTTATTTGTAAAAAAAAAAAAAAAAGAAGAAGTAAAAGGGATTTGATTGGCTTTCAATTTATCTTGCAGTTTAAAATTGTGCGCTGCTTTATGTTGGTCTATTAAATTACATCCCAGCAAATGATATTGTAGACAGACTGTAGATGTAAAGTTACAAATGTGAGAAACGTTGGGGGTGTGAACAATTATTAAAGGCAGTGCAACTAATAAAGCAGTGGGAGGATTTGTGGCTGGGGTTTGCTTTTTAGTTTGTTCCAATGTTGAGCTGATTTGTCCAATGTTTTGGTGGATCTCTGGGTTGTTGATGTGCAGGAACATCCTGCTTCAGACTCATTTACCTCTGCTGGAAGGAGTGACGGGAGCTCCACGCCTCCTGCCTCTGGTTGCGGACGTCCTGCTCCTTGAAGTACCGAGCATGCAGCTCCCATTGCCTGCGCCACCGAGCCTCATGCTCCCGCTGTCGAGCCAACTGCTCGGCCAACGTTCGCGACCGACTGGGACCATGAGCCGAGAGAGTAGGAAGAGCCATTTGTCTGAAACATTAGGAATGGATGAATGAGAAAAAAAATTAATAATAAACTCAATGTACAACAACAATCACTCGCTCTCTTCAATTTGAATACACTAACAACATTGTATCGGCTTCCACCAGAGGACTGCGCGTAAAGTTCGTCCGCTGGATTCAAATTATCAGGGAAAAAAGCCGAACGTCTTTTTGCATTTTTATTCAGTCTTCTATATTCCTCACACAAAACAATAAACATTCACAAACCCATTCAATGTCTCTCCGCCTTTTTCCCCCCACTAGCCGCTCACAGGTTTCCTTAGTTACGGAAACACTTCCTGTATTACGGAAAACGCGAAGGGCCAAAAGATTCGTCCTTAGAAAACGCGAGAAAACTTTTATCAGGAAGGAATACTGCATAAATTTAACTTCACATACATTTTGCAGAGAAAGCACACACGACCAGCACACAGAAAAAAAAAACACTTATATAAAATAACAAACACCATAAAATAAAACACAAAATAAAAACAAAAAATTCTCAAAAAAAAAAAAAAAAAAAAAAAGAAGTAAAAGGGATTTGATTGGCTTTCAATTTATCTTGCAGTTTAAAATTGTGC